GGAAGCCAAAGAGAAAGGTACTTGGGTTCAACTAAAGCACCAGCCTGCTCCACCCAGAGAAGCACACTTTGTGAGAACCAATGGAAAGGAGCCTGAGCTACTGGAACCTATTCCCTATGAATTTATGGCATGATGGGTATTAAAAATAAACTAATCTATCATCTATTAAAAAATAGCTAAATGAGGGACCAGCAGTTAGCACAATGGCTATGTTGCTGGACTCCCACGTAGTCGACCGCAGTTTGAGTCCCGGACCCGTTGGCTTAAACTCACGCCAGGCGCGTGTGCATGCATGCCCAAGATCCTGAGAGGAGAATGGATTGTGGTGTGGCCATCCCCCCTGGGGGGGTGATTTCTCGCTTTCTGTCTCTCTTTCTCTGTCTGGCGAGCGCACATGCCCTATAGCAAAAAAGTCTCTCCTCCCCCCAAAAAATAGCTAAATGATATATAAAAAGACAAAAAAGCTGTAAGAATTCAATTATCACGTGCTTAACACAGTTTACCTTTCCTTCATTATACTAACACTCTCATCTTGCATTACTGATGTCATGAAAAATGATCTGAAGCTTAGAAATAGTCAAAGGGGGTTCTGGGTGTACTCTCTCTCATCCTCTTTAAGGAGTGACTTTCCAGTGGTGTGTACCTATATTTGACTATATTCTTACTATTATTTTACAATCCTGTGAAAATGGAGGTTAGCAGATAGAAAAGAGATAATGCCTATGATGCTCTACCCTGCCTATGATACACTACCCACCCAGATTCTATGGTACAGTGTTCTGTCTCCTTTCTATCTTTCACAAATACATTTTGGACCATTCTTAGTCTTCTTCATTGGCTCCCCTTTCCCAGTTTATTCATTAAGCAGTTCTCCATTTTCAACTCATTTCTCACTCTACTTGTATTTCCCACTGATTCCATTTTCTCTCACCTTAACTACCACATTAAGTTGCTGACCTGTAAATGTGTAACTCTAGTACAGATCTCTCATACAGGTTAGGCTTTCTACTCACCTATTGATGTGTTAGTCATCTGGTAGAGTAACTTTTAGTCTTTGGCTAATACAAATAAAATAGCTATGAACATTTGTGCACAAGTCTCTGTGTGCTTTACTGCTTGCTGAACATAGCGCCTGTGCTCAACATAACCAACACTGAATTTGCCATCTGTCTCACAAAACAAATTCTACATATTCCACATACTGTAAACTGTCTAATCACCCAATATAGAAAATTGGTGTCATATCTGACTGTACCTTTTTTATTTTTATTTTAAAAATTTGCCATAGGGTGTATGTGCTTGCCAAAGAGACACAGAGAGAGAGAAAGAAAGAGAGGAAGCACCCCTGACAGGGGGGATGACCATGCTATAATCCATTCTCCTCTCAGGATTTCGGGCACATATGCCCAGCATGTTTCTTAAGGCACCAGGTCCATGACTCAAACTGTGCAGTTGGCCATGTGGGATCCAGCTGCCTTAACCAACAACACACCACCTGGCTGGCCCCTGACTACATCTTTTATCACATATCAGAACTCTCACCAAATTCTGCTAATCTTTTTATATTAACTTTATTAAAGCATAATTGATATATAATAATATATATATTTAGAATATACAATTTGATCAGTTTGACGTGGTTCACCAACACCAACAAGAAAATAAATATATCCACCACTCTGTAAAGTTTCTTTGTTCTTCCTTATAGTCCCTTCCTCTTTGGCCTCCGTAACACCCTAGTTCCAGGCAACCAGTGATCTGTTCTCACCATAAATTAGTTTATATATTTTTTTTTGGAGAGGTTTTTGATATAGAGTGCATGCGCTCGCCAGACAGAGAGAGACATAGAGACAGAAAGCGAGAAATCACCCCCCAGAGGGGATGGTCACACCGCAATCCCTTCTCCTCCATTCTCCTCTTGGGATCTTGGGCACGCATGCACACGCGCTCAGCGTGAGTTTTAAGCCACCAGGTCCAGGATGCGAACCACGGTCGACTACATGGGAGTCCAGTGACATAGCCATTACGCTAACTGCTGGTTCCCAAATTAATTTATATTCTTTAGAACTTTATATAATTTTTGGGGGGGAGGTTTTTGCTATAGGGCATGTGTGCTCACCAGAAAGACAGAGACAGAGAGATAGAAAGCAAAAATCACCTCCCCAGGGGGGATGGCCACGCCGCAATCCCTTCTCCATTCTCTTCTCAGGATCTTGGGCATGCATGCACATGCACCCATGAGTTTAAACCACTGGGTCTGGGACTCGAAAACTGCGGTCGACTACATGGGTCCAGTGATGTAGCCATTATGCCAACTGCTGGTCCCAGAACTTTATATAAACTTTATATTAAAGTCTGTACTTTTCTGCCTGGCTTCTTTCACTTAGCAATTATTTTAAAATTCATCTATTCATACACATGTATAGTCTGTATATATGACTAGTTCATTCCTTTTTATTGAATAGTATTCTATTGTATGAATATGCCACAGTTTACTTACCTACAGATGTATATTTGCACCATTTCTAGTCTTTGGCTATTAGTGAGTTGTCATCAAAGTCATGACACAGTTTTGTATAGAAAAACATAGAAAAATATGTCATGACTTTTCCTACAACCTAATACAAATAAAGTTGCTATGAAATTTTACATATAATCTCAGTCTGAATATCTTCAAGTCTCTTGGGCCAATACCAAAGAGTGGAATGGATGAAAAATATGGTATGTATATGTTTAGCTTGCTAAGAAATAGCCAAACTATTTTCCAGTAAGACTGTACTATTTTACATCTTTACTGGCAATGTCTGAGAGGTCTAGTTCCTTCATAGTCTTGTCAATACTTGGATCACTGTGTCAAATTTCAGTCATTTAACAAGTATTTAGTGGTGCCTCCTTACTGACTAATGTTACAGAACATCTTTTCATGTGCTCAAATCTTCTGCCATTTTTCAAAATTTTTTATTAATTTTGAGAATTCCATATATATTCTTGCTACAATACTTATTAAGATATATGCTTTAGGGGGCAGCAGGTGATGTGGTGGTTATACTACAAACTCTCACATGGCCAACCATGGTTCAAGTCCTATACTTTGGGGCTTGAAAATCACACTGGGCACATGTGATGTTTGCCCCAAATCCCAGGAGAGTGGAGGAGAAGGAACTGTGGTGTGGCCATCCTCCCTGGGGAGGTGATTTCTCCCTCTCCCTTTCATTATTCTCTCTGGTGAGCAAACACCCTGTAGAAAACCTTAAAAAAAAAAAAAAAAAAAAACGATAAAAAAAAAAAAAAAAAAAAAAGGACATGCTTTGCAAATATCTTCTCCCAGCCTATGATTTGTTCTTTTTATTTCCCTAAAAGTATGTTTTAATAAATTATTTTATTTTAACTTATTATTTACTTTTAATTTGACCAGAAGGGACAGAGAGAGAGAATGGGGAAAGTAAGAAAGCAAGCTGCCAGGTGCAGACTTGAAACATGGACAATCATGTGGAAGGCCAGTGTCTTTAACTACCATGCCAACCTGCCACCCCCCTAAAAGAGTCTTTTCAAGAATCCAGGGTTTTTTTTTAAGAATTATTTTATTTAACTTTATTATTATAATTTTTAAAAATTTGACCAGAGAGGGACAGAGTGAGCGAGCGAGTGAGTGAGAGACAGCAAGCCACCAGGTCTGGGACTCAAACCACAGTCAGCCATGTGGGAGTCCAGTGCCCCTAACCACCATGCCATCTGCTGGCCCCCTTGAAGAATATAGTTTTAAAATTCAAATAAGGTCTAATTTTCCTATACCTTAAAAAACAACAACAACAACAAAAAAAAAAAACCAAAAAACCCCCCAAAAAACAGAACCAGAGGCCATGCACGCTTGCCAGAAGACAGACACAGAAAGGGAGAAAGCACCGCCCAGTGGGGACAGTCATGTTGCAATCCCTTTTTCTTTTCTTTTAAATTTTTTTTT